ACTTCTCCCGGTGTCGAGGCGGGGATGTTGAATGCACCTGCCATGCCCTGGCCACCAAACGGGGTCTCGCCAGTGCCGGCGGTTGGGGCCAAGGTGCCCACTGACACCATTGCCCTTGCCAGGTTGCCCCTTGCCAGTGCCCCACTTGGGGACCTAGCGGAGCCGCTTGATCATGCAGGGTGGCGTGGCCCGGGGATGGGTGGCGGGGTGCCGAGGCCGACATCGCTGACGAGCGCACAGTGCCAAACGAGCAATGGGAGCGTCCACAGCCACGTCGGTGCAAGCCTCGAGATTTTGATCTCAACGAGGAAGACCTGTACCCATCAGAGGTACTGCTTCCAGAGTCACCACGGCGACCGTGGCTATGACGGCTAGGTGCCGGTGCCGGCCGAAGGGTGCTTCGCGAACGATGCCTGTCGGAGTGATCACTTGAGTCTGAGCATCGGTGCCGATGGCGTCGAGACCTGCTCCTATAACTCCTGTAGGAAGAGGAGTGTCGATGCCTGCTGCCTTGGTGCCTGCGACCCCTCCTGGTAGCGGAGGACCCTCGGGACTCCCTCTCAGGTGAGTTGGCCAATGGCATGGGCATCTGACGCGGGCTACGAGATGGCCCCGCAGAATGGGTAGGCACCTCATCCTCGGAGCGGGGGCTATGCCGAACCTGAGAGGGTCGATGAGCTCCCAGTGGCGGCTTCCCTCTGGAGTGAGGGCCCATCTTGGGCGGCCCACTCGGCACCAGAAGGGCGAGGATATCACACATTGCCTGCGCTGCCTCCGGCGTTGACGGTATCCTCCCCACAGGGGAGGCACGCGCGGACGGGACCGGACTACTCCGCTCAGCACGAGTCGGAGGTCTGGGTCCCGAGGGGGATCGTGGGCTGCCCAACTCAGGTGCGGCCTCACCCCTGTCCTTTTCTCGGCGCTGCTGAGTCTTCCCTTGCTTCTTAGAGGGGGAGCGGTGCAGACTAGTTGATGGGGCGTCACTGGGCACCGACAACGCGCCTGGCGCCGGATAGCGTCAGCATGCCAGTGCTAGGGTCAATGCCGACTCCATTAGTAAGGCCCAGAGATGGATATCTCATTCGCGTTTCATTCTTGGTTTGAACGACCTGCAGATTTTACAACGCTCGCTTACACGAGTCTCGCCCACACAGTGAAGACACTGAGTGTGTGGATCGCTTCTGGGCATAGAACTGCGACAGGAGTCGCACGACTTGAAGCCTGGGGCACGGGGCATGCCCCGAGCCAAGCAACTAACTAGAAATTCGGACTACTAAGAAGAGTTGTACTATTAAGGTTTGCAGTGCTGCAGCCGAGCTGGAGCACTAAGTTCCGACTACCTTCACTGGCGGCAAGAAGGAACTGAGGGTGGGGGGAGTGCACAGCTCCCCTTATAACACGATATAGAGGCGCCACTCCAAGGGTCGCAGCGGTACTCCCCCACTACAGGTACCGCTAAGGGAAAAACTTCCGGCACCGGTGCACGTGGCGAGCACGCACACCTACTGTGGAATACACAGGAGCAATCACTCAAAGAAGAACTTAAAAAAAAAAAAAAAACACTAAAGGGATGATCTGCCATTAAATATCTGTTTTTCAACCCTTTGAGCAGAAGTGAGGGCCACCAAAAATAGCCATTTTCATGGAGAGGTGAAGTAAAAAACAAGTGGTTAATGGCTCAGAGATGTTTTGTAAAACAAAATTAAGAATGAAGAATGAAGTTCAAGTCCCATATTGGGGTTTAATCTGAGGGAAATAAAAGACTCATCAGTCCTCTGAGGAATCTTGATGTTGCCACTAAGGAGGCCCATAGGGCATGGGAGAAGGCATCCATCCACTGCACCAATAGAATGGGGGTCAACGTCATTTCCCCACCCCAAAACCCCTATTTCTCTCCCCCTCAGTGTAGGTGCCAGGAAAGTAAATGTCTTGTGGAGTAGAGAGGGGATCCCTGGACAGAAATCTGGGAATCGGACTCATCCTCAACATAATCCAATGGCCGTGATAACTGCTCATCCTGAACGGTAGGTATCAGAGAGGTAGGAGATCTGGGCAAAAGATGTGGTGTTGGTGACCCAGTAAGATCTCAGTACAGGCAATTGTATGGTACCAATAAGTAGTGGAGACCAGCTTGTCTGAGACAAAAAGATCCCTTGAATAGCTGAATTCCTGTAGTACCAATGGAATGTGAGTAGAAGTTGAATAGGATTCTGCAGAAACTGTCATCAGTACCAGGATAGGTACTCGTCTAGAATGTGCCGGTACTGAGGACATGGAATACTTTGAAAGAATACATCTAGTAGACTCAGATGATACCAATGAAGTAGGCTGGGACACTGGTATAAGGTCTCACAGGAGGTATGCAGGAGTGCTGCACTGGCTGCTTTGAAGTACAATGTCTCCTGGAATGGACATGACCACCTGATGTCAAGGGAGGTGTCACTACTGGACAGGGCTTTTAGATGATGTCTTAGATGACCTCTCGGTACTGGAGCCACTCGGTGCATCAATGGTACTCCCTTTGGGAGAAGTCTCCGGAACATTAATTATAAATCAGTGATCAAGATGGTTGTTTTTGTTTGTTTGTTTTTTAAAGAGAGAGATAAGAACTCTCAGGTAGGAAACTTAGTTCTCCTCATCCTCTTGTTGGCACCCAGTGTCTTGTTTCATGAGGCTCTTGGTGACCTGAACCCAGAGGTAGATTAAGTGTACTCGGAGGCCAGAGTACAGGGGGGTTCTCTGAGCCTGGATCAGAGGCCAGTCTTAGGGCTTGTTCCATCATAATCAATCTAAACTTTCTCACTCTATTCTTAACCAGTTCTGCTTTTAAAAGAGGTGCAGATCTTACACTTGGTCAGTATATCGATGTCTCCCAAACAGCGGAGGCACTGAGAATAGCCGTCACTGATGGATTACTTCCTGGCAGGAGAGAGAGTTCTTGAAGCCTAGGGATCTTAGTGTACCCCAGAAGTGCTGATCTCCAAAATAACCCCTTAAGTGGGGAAAGAAGAGAGGGGAAAATAAAACAAACAGAATCCCCCCAAAATTAAATAATAAGAACTAGATTAAACTTAAGAAAACTAACAGAAGAACAAACCAAGCTAAACTACACCTAAAGTGAACCAGGCACGCTTGGTGCTCAGTCTCCGGCGTAAGGGCAGTTGAGAAGGAACAGAGGGCATTTTTCCTATGCAGCTCTATATATCCTTGGTACGGGCACGAGGATGTCTGGAATGCATGCGCAAGCCAAATGGGCAGTTACTGAAAACCTCCAGTCAAAGGTGCCAAAGGGACAATACTCAAAGAAGATTCAAACTTTGCCAAGCCCTTTGCTGCTACAGAGTGTTGGAAATGCTTACAGGAGCCTTCCCTATAAAGAAAAGGTCAGTAATTTCTTGTTTCACTGATAGGAAGAGAGATCCAACTCTGCTGTTCCACCTTCATTCAGCTCCTTGGGGCCCACTGACACACTTAAAGCATGAACATTTTGGACAATGACTCTGACGTTTACAATTGTCGTATAATTTTCTGTGGTTGCAATAAGGCAATCCTTAGACAAGATCTCGTAAAGCGACCATATGTGCACATTCTAAAGTGGTGCTTTTGTGTAGTGATCTTAGGTCCCAATAGAGCCTAGCCAAATTCTTCAGCTTTGGGAGTTCTAGCCAGTCCTGCCCCAGAGCAAGGAGATACGGTTTTCAGAATGGAGAGAGGTAAACAGTGGTGTCCCCCAGGGACCTTTATTTGTCCCAGTCCTATTTAACATATTCATAAACGATCTGGAAAAAGGGGTAAACAGTGAGGTGGTAAAATTTGCAGATGATACAAAACTACTCAAGATAGTTAAGTTCCACGCAAACTGTGAAGAGCTACAAAAGGATCTCACAAAACTGGGTGACTGGGCAACAAAATGGCAAATGAAATTTAATGTTGATAAATGCAAAGTAATGCACATTGGAAAACATAATCCTAACTATACATATACAATGATGGGGTCTAAATTAGCTGTTACCACTCAAAGAGAGCTTGAGTCATTGTGGACAGTTCTCTGAAATCATCCATTTAATGTGCACCGGCAGTCAAAAAAGCAAACAGAATGTTGGGAATAATTAGGAAAGGGATAGATAATAAGACCGAAAATATCATATTGCCTCTATATAAATCCATGGTACACCCACACCTTGAATACTGCGTGCAGATGTGGTCGCCCCATCTCAAAAAAAGATATATTGGAATTGGAAAAGGTTCAGACAAGGGCAACAAAAAATGATTAGGGGTATAGAAAGGCTTCTGTATGAGGAGAGATTAATAAGACTGGGACTTTTCAGCTTGGAAAAGAAGCGACTAAGGGGGGATATGATAGAGGTGTATAAAATCATGAGTGGTATAGAGAAAGTAAATAAGGAAGTGTTATTTACTCTCTCTCATAATACAAGAACAAGGGGCCACCAAATGAAATTAATAAGTAGCAGGTTTAAAACAAACACAAGAAAGTATTTTTTCACACAATGTGCTGCCAACCTCTGGAACTCCTTGCCAGAGGGTGTTGTTAAGGCCAATACTATAAAGGGGTTCAAAAGGGAGCTTGACAGATCCATCAATGGCTATTAGCCAGGATGGGCAGGAATGGTGTCCCTAGCCTCTGTTTGACAGAAGCTGGGATTAGGTGACAGCGCATGGATCACTTGATGATAACCTGTCTGTTCATTCCCTTTGGGGCACCTGCCATTGGCCACTGTCAGAGGACAGGATACTGGGCTTGATGGACCTTTGGTCAGACCCAGTATGGCCATTCTTATGTATGTTCTTATGTAATTCTGTGATGGTATTTAAAGAAAAAAAACCTACCGCAAACACTTTAGCTGGCAATAGCATTTAAATCAGTATTCATTCTTTAACTAGATTACTTGCATGCTGCTAACTGAAGAGCTAAATCAAATTTAAAGCAAGGTAACATGATACACACAAAGTATAATTTCTGACAGCAGAACCATGCTTACTGGTGGGTGTTCGAGGGGTTCTTGGAACTTCCAACTCAGTTTGATGATGATTCCTTTCTACTACTGGTTCTTCTACCACATTTATGCTATTGTTCTGCATGATCTCTTGTAGCATATTAAATAGTTCTTCTGCACGAGCACACTTAAAGGCAAAGATTCCTATAAACACACAACAAATTGTTTTAGATCCCTTTAAGTGAAAACAAGAACTGCTTCTAAAAACAGTTATGCAATTAATTTTTAAGTAACTAAACGGGAGTCCACTTAACGATTACCTGTTAAAGGAACTGAGCTATTATATTTTTTGTGCAACAATCAAAATAAAAAGATACAGCAAGACCCTTTTAAATGAGTACCTGATAAATGAATAAGCTTCCAATGCACCAAAAGACAGATTGGAAAATAAAAGATCCAATAAGAGAAAAATCTGTTAAAATTTCTGGTTGCTAAATGAGGAAAAACACTTCATGAAACAGCGAAGTTTTAAAATGAATAATCTGATAAGTAGACCTGTAAAAAGAATAGAATTTTGGTGCTGCAAGGTTATGTGTTTATCAGGTTTATACTGAGTTACCATAAAAATAAAATACCTGCACAATAGGGAAGAAGGGTTTTGACACAGGGTAAAAGTCCAGGTTCTTAAAGAAGGTTAAAATGAAGGGCTAGAAGACAGATTGTGTGAAACAAACAGCAACAAACCAATTTTTTTTTTCCGCCTTAGGGATAGACACAAAATACAAAGTTGGCAGCAATACTATGCATTTTGCCCAAGTATTGTGCCACTTTGTCTTTGAACAGTAGAGGGAGCCCAACTTACCATCCCAAGCAAAGAGACAAGCAGTGAAGTCGCAGCTTTGGATTATTCTTTCCATTGAAAGCATTAATTTAAAGTTGACATATTCTTGTTAAAAGAAGAGTGTGTGTGTGGTTGTGTTTTTTAAGAAGACTGGAATACATCTAAAAACTATCTTTATTTTAAGATACCTACATTCTACTACATTTTGACAATGCAATTATGTTTATATATCATGACATTCACTTCTTGTTATCTACAAGCTTTTGATTGATTTGAATACCATGGAAAAAGGAGCGATCTAACATATTGACTATATTTTGGTGTTAAACATAAAAAAAATGCTCCAAAGGTAGAAGCTTACAAGATGTGCAGTACTCTAGGTCTAAATAATTTCTGTGAAACCTCTCCAGAATTTTTTGACATTTTGCCTGATATAGTATTAATACTTCAGAAAATAACTGTGTACTCTTGAGAAATTCAAATTTGCCCTTCTATTAAAAAGGAAGAATAAAATGTGTTCTGTTCCCAAATTGTTAGTTCTTCGGAACATGAGGTACACTTAAATTGCATATATAGAAAGAAAGTAAATAAAAAAAATCAAGACTTTTTACTGCAGCAATTTCTCAAATATTTTCATCTTAAAAGCCAAACTACCTGTGGCTAAGCCAAACTATGAAAAGGCAACTCCTTCCTCTCCTCAAGTTAGCTAGGATGCCATGGGTTTTTTCATATCATGTACTATACCCAGTTTACCAACACAGAAACAATGTTGCGTGGTCAGTGAAGTTCTGAAGTGGGCTTCAAGTTTAGAAAGACAACAAATAATCTGGTTCTTGTCTACACATATAGCGGTGCAGCTGTACTGATGCAGCTGTGCTGCTATAGGGCTTACTGAAGATGCTACCTGTGCTGACTGGAGAACTTCTCCTGTCAGCATAAGTACTCCAACTCTCTGAGAGGCTGCAGCTATGTTGATGGAAGATGACCTCCTGTCGACATAGCACTGTCTACAGCAGGAGTTCAGTTGGGAGGGGGAGGGATAGCTCAGTGGTTTAAGCATTGGCCTGCTAAACCCAGGGTTGTGAATTCAATCCTTGAGGGGGCCACTTAGGGATCTGGGGCAAAATCAATACTTGGTCCTGCTAGTGAAGGCAGGGGGCTGGACTCAATGACCTTTTGGGGTCCCTTCCAGTTCTATGAGATAGATAGATAGGTATAACTATGTCACTCAGGGTGTGTGGAGTTTTTTCTTTTTAAACCAGCCTCATAATAAAAAAAAAAAAAATAGTGAGTAAACAATAACAACAAGGAGTCTGGTGGCACCTTAAAGACTAACAGATTTATTTG